AGAGAAAAACTATTGGATGCTGACAAGATGATGTTTTCTTCTCTTTCATTTTTTTTTTTTTTGGTCAATGGGGATTGTTTTAAGATGCTTGTCAATTGAGTAAGTATGCTTTTTATTTGAAATGATTCAAGTTTTCAATCTACAACATATATAATTATGAGTATCTTAATCCTGGTCCTGTTACCATAGGACGAGAATGGAAATATTAGAATGAAGAAATTTCTTTTTACGTACGTGGAAAAAACTTGTGACGTTATCTTGTGGTTTCGTGATGGGTGTGGGGGCCACACCCACGTGATTAGTGGGAGCAAGGAGAATTGTGGTTTCGTGATCAGTTTTTGATTTCCGCATGAAGAAAAGAAACAAGGCCCACCCGATAGCCTATACAAGCCTATATATACTATTCGGTTCCTAGGGCATTGTTGAGCAAGGAGCTTTGATTTTTCTTCGACAGCTTGGTGCAAGTACGAAGTGCAGGAGAGAAAAAGTCAGCTAAATACTTTTTCTTTGACAGCGTGCAGGTGCAGAGGGTTTCTTAAGAAAAACTCAGTCGCTGTTTGTGACAGAGGAGTTCTTTTGAGCATCCTTTTTGAGGGTTTTATTTGTGAGGGATTTGAGAGTTTGTGTGAGGGTTTAATTTGTGTGATTGTAAACCCTAGTTGTATTCTCTCCCTCTAATAATAGATCTCTCCCCTCCTTGCCCCGTAGATGTAGGCAATTTGCTGAACCACGTAAAATTGATTGTATCGCTTTTGTGTGATTTGTAATAGCTTTTTAGGATCCCTCGACAGGTCAGTCCTAGAACTGATAAGAGGAAGAGCCGATATCTCACTTTGTTGAGATATTCGCTTCAGATTCTTGTTTCCTTGGTGAGACGGGAATTCTTATTGCGACCTGACTCTCTTGTTGTGCTGCCAAAGTGCTACCGAAATTTCTGTTGCGCGCAACAAGTGGTATCAGAGCCCAGATTTCAGATCTAAAGTTTTGGAGTTTGGTGGAGGAAGATTTTTTGTGTGAAGCTTGGTTCTTAGAGTTCTAGGCTTCGGTGGAGATAGCATTAGGAGTTACCGTTGAAGATTTTGCTTTTCTCGTGTGGATAGAAGATCTATTTGGAATCTGATCTAGGGTTCAGTTGGGTGGTTCCTGATTTCTATCAAATTTGTTCTTTCTCTACAATTTGGAGTTAGTTTGTAATGGGAGAACAAGGTGAAAGCAGCAAGTCGATGGCGAGTACAATACAAGTTGGTTTTCAGAACACTAAGATTAGTGTGGTGAAGTATGACGTCAAAATCAACTTTGGTTTGTGGATGAGCGACGTACAGGATGCGCTCAATGCTCAGAATTTGGAAGAGACCATCATGGTCTACGAGAGGCCACCTAAATATGAAGAGGCGGTATGGGAGAAGATGAATAGGAATGCTTGTGGGGTGATCAGGTCCTGTTTGGAACTCCTATGTCTACTCTTCCTTTTCAAGAAGAGACTTGTTCGTTATGCAAAGAGCTAACTTGAATCACAATCCCGATTTAGTAAACTTACAAGACCACACATTAGAATCCGTACAAAACCATTCGTCTAACCTAACTCCCACAATGAGTAACTCCAATTTGAGTACATTGTCAAAGAAGCTTAAAGCAAAACCAAAAACAATAATTAAAGCTTAGCATATAAGAAATATCTTATAGTCCTTTTGTTAAACAAACTGTCCTTCAAAAATATAAGCGTAGCTCGATGAGGAACAGTAAAGAAGATCAATCTAACAGCAAATTTCCTTGTTGAAAAGATATGAAGATGTTGTGCGTGACGAGTGAGAACTTGACGATGCTTCAATGGTAAAACTCTTCAACATAATCTCTCACAAATCAAAACCATAGAATTCTTCCCTCTCTTTCAATGATATAAAATTTCCAATAGGACAGGAAAGAGATATCCCAAACGTGATAGAAGTTAGAGAATATATAAACAATGAACAGTTGAGATTAAATATGAAAAATCTATAGCTAACATGTTTGCCATCTATGATGGCTCTCAACCATCGACAGTGTCGAGGCCCCATCAATGGTTGAGAAGCTCATCAATGATATAAAAGTCTCTGAAGTAAAAAAATCATCAATGATGTATTTTGACCATCAATGAGCTCTTCTTACCATTGATGGTCAATGCCTACCATAGACGGTAGAAATGCTGAAATTTACTTTTGAACTTGTTTTCACGTTGTTTCACCTCGTACACTTTTATACCTGTATTTACCTGTACTATATCATCTCAATTAATATTACTACCAAATGAGAGTTTGTTATTACTCAAACCAGAGATATGGTAAGGACTACATCTTAACAAAAGAAACGATTGATATTGGACTTGTTGCATCCTAATTATATTTTAACACTATTAACTATGTAAGAATATCTTAAAATAAAAACAGATTGGGATCACATTGTTAGCACCCATGTACATCCCTAAACATCATGTTTGCTACCTTTCCACTCCTTTTTTTAAACCACTTCAACAAAATTCACATTCTAGATCGTGGGTGTTCAAAGGCATGAGTATGGCCTTTTTTCAAAGAGTTCAAAATTTGTAGGCTGCACCTTTGACGTGATTTTTTCTGTCTCTCACTTTTCTACAAGGCAATGAGCTTTACACGTCTCAAATAAGTAGATGACTACATTGATATATAGCTCCCATTTATATAGTTCATATAACAACTTTAATTACATCCTTAATGAAAAAGAGAATGGTAGGTAGACTAGACTCAAACCACTTTGTTGTTTTTTTAAATTGTTCTCATAACATATTTGTCCTTCCAATAGTCCTTCTAATAGTAATACCGTTGCGCACAGCGGAAATTTCGGCAGCACTTTGGCAGCACAACAAGAGAGTCAGGTCGCAATAAGAATTCTTGTTTCTCAAAGGGAACAAGAATCTGAAGCCTATATCCTATCAAAGTAGGATATTAGCTCTTCCTCTCGTCAGCTCTAGGACTGCGCGTCGAGGGACCCTAAAAGCTATTACAAATCACACAAAAGCAGTACAACCAATTTTAACGTGGTTCGGCAAATTGCCTACGTCCACGGGGCAAGGAGGGGGGAGATCTACTAATAGAGGGAGAGAATACAACTAGGGTTTACAACAACTCACAATCTAAACCCTCACACAAAACTCTCAAATCCCTCACAATATCTCTCTACAAAAGAACAAAAGCCTACACACAAAACTCCTATTGAATTCTGGAGTTTTCTTCTGCAGCCGCCGCCTAAAATTAACCTCTGCTTTTGCTTTTGTTCTCCCGCACAGCCACCAATCTTTTTCCGCAAAAGATTCCTTCAATTGCACAAGTCTGCAGCCGCCCAAACCCCACAAAAAACTCCTTGGCACGAAAACCTAAAAAAACACAAACAGCTATATATATATATGAGTATTCGGGTGGGCCGGCCTTGGTTCTCTCTTCACGCGTGATTGATTCACGGTTTTGTTTTTCTCCTCCTCACGTGGGTTGTGGCCCCCACATCTTCACAATAACGTCCATTTTTGGATAAGAGAAATTTGTGTTGACTTTTCACAAATATCAACAGTCAAGGTACACAAATAAAAAAAAAATACAAGTTAGAACCCAAAATTTTTGGAGCCTGATTAATGCTATGAACTTGGCAAAATCAAACATTTAAAGGCATGGACCCCATAAACTATAATGACCCCCTTTATATAATATTAAAAATAACAATTTTAAAAGGAGTTGATGAAGCCTAAAGCGTGTACTTGATCTCAAAATTATCTAAAAAATATATATTACTCATAAGAAACTGGATAATGTTGGCCCATTGAAGATCATGAACCCGACTGGACGTAGAAAGCTTTTACTCTTAACAGCTCCAACAAATAATTCCAAATTTTAGCTGTCTCTATATTAGTAGAGGAAAGCAAAACGAACCAAACTCATTTAATATTCTCTCAAGTTTCACAAGGCGTTTGGTTGGTAGGTTTTTGAGCTAGCTTGCGTACAATAGAGGTAAATGGTTTTCTCTTGTGATTAATATCAAGAGGGCAACAAGTCAACGGTACAAGCTCATGAACCAACACATAAGATTGGTTTTAATGAATTATCTGGAATTTTTAACATCTAGTTCATTACCTTCTCCAATTTTCCCTTCCATTAATTGCATTATTAGAGCATCTCCAACAGCTTCTCCATCTTCTTGGTATTCTAAAATTTGGAGAATTTTAAGTTTTTTTTTGGTGCAACAGATTCCCCATCTCATTCCCCAAAATGAGGATAGGAGAGAAAAAATAGAGAGCCTTCCCCAAATCTGCAGCATTCTGCAAATATTTGGGGAAGCACTTTTTCACGTTCTTCTAGACTCAACCCACAAAAAACAACTCCATCTCCTCATTATAATAATAAATAATTTGGTCAAAATGGGGATTCTTCAAAATAATAAATAATTTATTATTTATTAGTCAAAGATGTAGAATATTTTTATTATTGTAATAAATGCATGATTCTTCAAAATGGGGAAGCTGTTGGAGTTGGAGCAAAAATAATTTGGAGAATATGACATTTGATTCCCCATTTTGGTGAAATTTTTGGGGAAGCTGTTGGAGATGCTCTTAGCCGCCTGAAAATCTTATTCAAGTCTCAGGAAAATTGTAAGCTTTTACGTCACCTAATTCTTCCAATTTGAGTGATTTACGCAATATATTACCAAATAGCATGATAAACGTGTCAATACTTATACGGAGAGACTTATCCAAGGATCATCGCAAAGTTTTGTTCAACTTCGCCACTTAGAAACAAACGATGGAGTTCAAGTTATGGCAAAAGGTTAATCTGAGAATCATCTCTCTGATTAAAATAAATGAGAAGAAAACAAATAAAAATTATGTTTACTTGCACAACTTTTGCGGGTATTTGACTCTCACACAGTTAAACGTTCTGTTACGCCAAAGGAAAATAGAAAACCAAATGGGGAACCTGGAATCAGAGCATGGAAAAGGTCGTTAGTTGCAAAATTTGTCCACCAAAGGAAAGAGAGATCAATTATAAAAAAATATTACTTGATCAATTACAAAGTCTAGTTACCAATCAACCAGAATACCACTGTATCAAATCATTAAGAAAAGCTTAAAAACACATAGGATAATAATGCTTGATCAAAATCTGCGGATAGGATACAAGAAAATATTTAACCAAAAGAAAGTAATTGGGTTTCCTTTTTTTCTTGAGGGTATAAGCTGATACCAAAACAGCAATTTCCCCAATGATCAGATGAAAGCTTCGCGCAAATGAGTTGGCAGCTTCAGTTCAGGCTCGAACTCGCCCAATGGTGAAAAATAATGGTCAACCATATCATCTGATACGTGCTTCAGTGTGGGAGGATCCCACTGCGCATATATTTCGAATTAAGACTCGAGGCCAAAAGGTTTGGGAACAAAACCAACAGTTTAAGACTATTAAGAGTTTAATCATACCTTCGGTTCTATGTCTTTCTCAACTAATCTTGCCCGAATACCCTGCAGAATCCAAAGATATGTCAGAGCCACATTGATCGATGTAAAACTATTTTTACGATCTATGTTAAAATACAACATGCGTTAAGGAAAATATAAGTGTAGCGGATGGGATAAGAAACGAACGCACCCACTGAAGGTTAGAGATAACTCCTATTGAGGGTAAAATGAGAGAGAATTGACTAAAATTGTTTGCCCGTGTACAGTGGAGGCAATTAAAGGCATTAGTTATGAGAAGTGATAATGTTATAGCTAATCAGAACAAGGGGTTCAGAGGTAGATCCCTCGTTCAGAGGTAAATCGAAGAAGAAATTGGTTTGAAGCAATTAAGGAGGAGATTAATAACAGTTAACAAAGAAATAACTCTTGATACAACTAAATAGAATTATAGGACTCGTGTCAACAACACCAAAAATTTATGATAAAGGTTTTGTTGCTGTTTAGCTTAAAGGGAAGAATGGGATATGTACCTCACAAAAGTCGGGCGAGACCTCTTTTGAAATTACATGTAGAGACATTCGATATTCCCGAATGAGGCATTCGTCAAGTGTCTGATATCTGCCTTCTCTTATCTATCAAGCAGCCAAGGACAATTGAGATGCAAGTTTACAATAAAAAGTATAACAGAGCAAGTTGATTTACTTACAGATCTCAGGGAAACCTTCAAACTCAATGGAGAAGCCTCTTTGAGTTTCTTGAGTGCACGATGACACCAATCCTGATTCGACCTAGCTGCCTCTTCTTCCTGATAAAGAAATAAAGAAAAGATTAAAATATGGGAGAAAGTACTAAGCCTGTAATAATAATAATAATAATAATAATAATAATACATGGGGCATCTATTGAACTCCAAACTTAGTTTTGGTACCGAAAAATTCCTGGCCAGAATATACCGTCATTCGTCCCTGACTTCATTGTATGAAGTCCCATCACAATTCTCTATATTAAAGCTTATAATCAACTAATATGAAAGTAATGGCTCACCAAAGCATCAATTATTTCCTCAACTGTTTCACGGCTAAAACATCTATCAATTGCCTCTAGCCTGAACATAAAGGCAAGAAAGACATTTAATAGTCAATAAAACAATATATATATTTTCATAAAACAGCAGAAGATTCATAGGTAACAGCTACATGACGTGAAAAATAACAAAAGTATAACCGATGTAAAAAATGAATAAGGAATTATTGTTGCCACAAATTGATTAAACAACAATAATATACTCTTAAGAAAAGAAGGGACGGTAATGGGTTACACCAATTTATCAGCTGCTCCTGAATAACTAATGCAGTGGATTGTTGCCAAATGGCTGATGGAATGTACCCTACAGAAATACATTGCTGTCTTGTAGATCATACTGAATGGGTTTCAGTTAATCCAGGAGCAGAAAAAAATAACAGGTATATCTAAATATAGTTGTGATGGGATGCCTGAGAGAACCACTGTAAATTGTCTCCAAAGAATGTTTCTTAAGATCTGAATACATGCCAGAAATTTCTTTTTATCAAATTTCAGAACATGAAGAACTCTTGTTAGTCAAAAGGCTAGATGAAAAATTATGCTCGCTCTTAATATTGTTTGAATATATGATTGGATGTTTCTTGATATATTGAAGTCTGTAGTGATACTAAGAAAGTGTTGGAGGCTGTTACGCTATGTACCAAATAAAGAGGTAAATATACAACTTCCCAACTCGAAAAGAACAAGTGAATTGGTGCCAATGCGCTCTCTTTTGAACCTGTGAGACACACGGTAGGATAATAGACTTTGAAAATTGCACTCTGCTGAATCTTCTTTTAGCCTGCATCTTATTAGAGATTCTTGCTACCAGGTCGCTACTGGAAGCAAGAAATATGCATCAACATCATCTTGTAAAAGCTACTGAAAAAGAAGTCCATATAACCTAGCTGGTTTATAAAAACTTGTCTCCATAGAGCTGTCCACATTTTTTCCAGTCAGAACCAGGTAAAATACAGCTTCTGACTGAATATACGTAAAAATCACAGCTATTTCCTCTTGTTGGAAATCTCTTCCAAATCTGTTCAAATCAGATTCTTCTTGGATGTAGCGAGAGAGATGGCAAAATAGAAAACTGTGCTCCCTCCCCAATCTTCAGATCTATTCAAGTCAGACTCGTTCATATTTCTCTTCTTGGGATGAAGAGAGAGATAAAATGCAGCAAAAAAAAAAGAGGTTCTCCCTCCCTTTCCAATTATATTCAGACCAGCTGATTGGAGCTGACTATTACTCAAGTAGCTAACTGTTTATTGTTAGCCAGTTGCTCCAGATACAAATCTACTTTGGAGCCCCATCTAATCCTCTACTTGCACTCTCCATTCAGTTATCATCCAAATAGTGGAAATCCATAGGGAACTAGCCTATTATGATGTTACCTCAGTAAAAGTTGATGATGCCAGTTATTTTGGACTTTCTACACTGTACGTGGATACATGTATGTGGAGAAGGAAAAGATATATATGTAAATATCTCAACAGAATAGATTGGATAAAATTTTAGTTTTTGAAGGAATAATAAATTGGATACATGGTGGTGTGTAGATCGAAAGGAAAAACGTGGAAAATCAAAAGGACGACCTAGTACCGGAACATGGTCGCCATTAGAAATTTTCAATTAGAAATTTTCAATTAGAAATTTTTCGTGTCTCTGTGTGCGTGGGCGTGGGTGTGGGCGTGGACGTGGGTGTGGGTGTGGGCATGTGTGCATGTGCGTGTGCATGCATGTGCATGTGTTTGTGTGTGTGTTTGTGTGTGTGTGTGTTTGTGTTTGTCTGTCTGTGTGTATGTATATATGTATGTATGGGTGCACTATGCGCACGCACATACACACACAAAGTAGGTCTGCTTCGGAGACACAAACTTAAAATTTGGCCCACTATTATACTACATGATGAGCCACCATATTGAGTGATGCACGCCATTTATAGCCGAATAAAGTAAGATGAGTTTTATAAGCTTCAAAGCCATCTAACAGAAAAAGTGCAGTATACTACAGGCACTGGTGGTATCAATGAATGCATGTATATCCTGTACTCATTGAACTAAATCAAACAAACCAATCTAGGACACAGTACAGGTAATCCAAGAATTGTCATTCTAATGCATATTTTGAATATGAGGTTCTGATATGCAAAGAATTAAGATGACACTAAAAATAAGTAATGACTGCTAACATTATAATCAAATGAGTTGCACTTCATTTCATATATGTCCACTGAATTGAGAAAAGGATGCATGGATGACAGACAACTTAAAAAGCAAATGAAATGACCTATGAACGATGCTCTGTTTATCTGGATAGACAACATCACCATATTGTGCAAGAGAAGAGTCTAAGACTGAAGGATCATCTGTAACCAACTTTGCAAGCCGTTCATCGATCCAACTAAGCCTCTGTTGAATTAAAAAGTACAATGTGGCAGCGTTATGCAAAATATCGTACAGAAAGTACAATTAAGGTGGAATTCCAAACAGTAGATAGTCAAAAAGAAACTAACAGCACTCATCGAATAATGTGTAGCAAGGCCCAAAGCAAGCATGTCAACTCCATTGATCTTCTCACCTGTCAGAGCCAAGTATTCCCCTGAAACAACAGCATTAAATAATCTTTAGTTTGTAAAGGAGGGATAGGAAGGACAATAAAGCTTGTAGCATTGCAGAATTGCAATCCAAGGTTGTGTAAGATAGTTATCCTATGATTTAAGCACCAATATGCCAATATTACAAGTCTCACATCATTCAGAACATGATGATACTTTTGAAATGGGCTCAGTATAACTACATCCAATCTGTAGCAGGACGGTCTTTCAAAACCTCTCTTAGTCAAACCTTCCAGCTTTACCACTACCAGGATAGTGGCAATAGTTTCTAACTCTTCATATATGGGTTGTGGACTTTGAACATTTGACTGTCAAAAAATGAATTTTTTTTCCAACTGTTGGACAGGAAAACCCGAGTTTTGCTTATTAGTTTTCTGCTCAATGAGTTTTCTATATTCTTTCCAAGAAAACATCAAGAAAAGAAGTTTTGGTTCTTCAATGGTTCTTTCTATCAATAGATATCAGCTGATATAGGCTTGTCATAGACTGAAACTAATATATTTGCACTTTGTTCTCAAAGATGTCAAAAACATCAAGAAAAAAAGTTTTGGTACTTCAAACGCTAGACCTTCGGCTCTTTCTATCAATATATATCAATAGAATTATCAGATTTGCATGCTGCAAAACTTATCCGAGGCACTACAGCCTGTATATTTGCACTTTGATATCAAAGGCTTAGACAAGAAATGGCCATTACCGAATTCATGCCTTTAAAATGTCATGGTATTAGGAGCTGCATTCTACGAAATAATTGATTACAAAATAGTATTGGACACTTGGATTCTGCTTCTATTCCAGTAAGATAGAGGAGACAAATATAGCTAAGCCAGATGTGAAGTCTTCAATGTGGTTCCATATAGAATTAAATTGTAACAATCTCTTAATCCTTGAAAATTGAGCCCATATATCACGGTTATTAATTGGTGTTCCCTTCAGCTATCTAAATCAATACTTCTTTACTAAAGAGCATTCAGCATCTATAAACTCAATGAAGAGAAGGACAGCCGCAATGGAGAGGTTGAGACAAGGACTTAAATGAATTAGGTTATGAATATAAGAAGACAACAATGAAGTTGGGTAAACGACGGGATTTGGTTGCCAGTAGTTTACAAGGTCATATAAAGTATAGATGTCAGATCCAGAAACGGATTTCACCATTTTAGAAAACAGGTCAAACAAGCAAGGGGTGACTGATATAAAGAAGAGAGATTTTATTTCTACATTCACTTTTACACAAAAAAATTTCGGAGTATCAAAATGTCCAAAACTGAAACTCCACTAGGATATAACTATAAAATCCAAAGCTAAAGCCAATAAACAAATTCCTGCATTTTGAAAAATATTCCAAGATAAGTCAAACAGATACCCCCAAATAAGTGGAGAGTAACATTCAAATAGCATCTCCTCCCTTTTAAGTTTTATCCAAGAAGAACCTTCAGAAATAAAAATGGAGGTTCTGCTAGTGCTAACTCCAAAGTTAGAGCACCAAAAGGTGAGGGTTATTTTTATTTCTTGGAGGAAATTTAGCAACCTGCATACTATTATGTTTAAGGTTTGAGATCTCAAATTCCATTGAGTATCCAGTCTTTACAAATGACTGGAGGAACTAATAGCACAAACTTCACATCAAAGGCCTACCTACATAACCGGTGAGATGTGAAAGGTAGAAGGAAGCTGCAGCATCAGGATGGAAGCCAATATGAATTTCAGGAGTGGAGAAAACCTGAAATTAGACAAAAGATGCAAGATACTGTTAAGTAATGCTTGAATAGCTATATATGCTGTAGTAGTAAACATCAATGCTTAAATAAATGAAGGAAAGATGAAATAATATGTATTAAACATAAGAGTAAAGCTCTTGTAAACTAGAGGACAGAAGCACTAGTCCGCCAACTTTTTTATCCATCAGATTTACTTTGAGATTCATGTTGACATGTGATTCGCATCAAGGCACACATCTCAAAGATATCATTGATGTGTATCACATGCCACCACAAATCTCAAAGCAAATTGAATGGATAAAAGAGTTTGTGAATAGAGCCCTCAATCAACTTAAGTTTATTGTAGCTTTACTCTCAAACATAAAATATTTTTACATAGAAAAGATACACGAATACAATGAAATGAAGAATCTGGAGAATATTAGTTGAACAACTGCACATAAGAATAATGACTGTTCTGAACATATGATGGAAACTCCGTTAGGAGAAAGCATCTTTTCATATAAGAATTATATATTATCTATTATTATTTATATACTAAATCAAATGTCACTATTTGCAGATGAGAAGTGGAAGTTGTTTTTGTATATAGTAAAAGATAATTGATTACTATTATTATTATTATTATTTGGAAACATAAAATATTTTTATAGTGTCTATGTTATCTAATATTAAACCTGCCTTCTTAGCTTTCCTATGTCATGCATCATTTCCATATTAATCCTATCCAAAATCAACAATTGTCTCATCAATACGCCACTTCACTTTCTCACTCTCCTCTTATCTTCTTCCCAACCCAACAACCACCTCTATCTTGAATTCCCATGCATTGCTCGGTTAACAACCGCTAATTTGACATAAATAAGATAAACAAAAAATAAAATAAAAAGATAGTTATGTTTTAGATAACTTAAAGGTGTTACCTTTGCATGCGACAAAACAAGTGCAACATTTTTAAATCAAGAACAAACAATGTAATATAACTGAACCCTGGGGGTAATTTACTTATGTTATCATTGATGAATTCTCATCTCCATCGGGCAAGATGATATACCATATATTTTTAAGCATAACCTACTGAGCACTACTAACTATTAATATAGAATGATTGAACAATTTCGCAGAGTAAGATTACAGAATTACAACTGAGATCAAAATTAATTCACTACAGTCCACAGATGAATATTAGTGAAAGATTAGAAAGATAAAATTTAATTCATTACAGTTCATGGACGAATATTAGTGAAAGATTAGAAAGATAACCAAGAATATCATATATTCAGGAGTCAGACACAAAAGTGTTATTGAAAAAGAGCATAATGATCAAGTGAAATGGAGTTATAGCATTAATTATCCAAACATTACAAATCAAAATGGATCAGTTGACTACACTAGGGACTCTTAAGTCTTAACTGAGAATTAGATTAACAATTGGTACACCTAGGTGTTGTATCAGTGCTTGAGGAGCCATAAAGTTATATAAGCAACAGTTGGTACAGTGTAGTGAGTGCTAGGCAACTAAGGTAGCCAGATACTTGCTTATCTCGTAAATCTTCTTCATGTAGTTAAATGATTATGCAATTCGGGTAAACTGCTAAAATGCCCCAAAGCTATAACTTTCTGCTGCAAAAAACATGCCTGGTGTATTAGATTCAATAAGTATCCCCTTGCTCTATTAGATTCATCCAATAATCCATCTTGAACTTTGAACAACATGCTATTGAACAACATGCTATTGCATAGCCATCTCTTAGCGGCCCCATCTTGAACTTTGAACAACATGCTATTGCCTAGCCATCTCTTAGCCGTCATATTTGGACTCCTTATCCATTTCAAGAATTATTTCCAGGTTTAGCAGACATCTCTCAGTATTTCACATGCAATACTTGTTGTGAACTTGCATAAGACCATAGCAGCAACTTCCAATTGGGAGAAATCTTTAACCACGGCAAAGTCTGAGTTAACTAGCATATAACACATGGATCTCTGCATTGTTGCACTGATCTAACGTTTTTTGTATCCTCTTTCTTACAGAATTATTGATATATACATAAATTTTAGATTTTTTAACTATAAATTTACCCTCAAAACACAAAAGATAAAAAGTGATGTATTAACAAGAGTATACTCTAGAAGATTTTATTAACTATACAAGTAAAGGTTTTTCATCATTCTCGTACTTCACAAGAAAATATAGAAACAACAGTCAATAGCATTCTGGTTTTGCCTGATGTCAATGATGACAGCTGCTTTCATTTTTACCAGAATAAGAATCGCAATGAAACCATGTCCTGATCAATGTCTAGGAGTTATTCAACTTTCCTTTATTTCCTTTTTAACTTACAGCCAGCCATTTACATTTTTGTGGTATCAATCAACAGTTGATCATGCCCAACTATGAAAATCCATAAGAACTAGCGCACGTCAATTTCATTTCACATACAGCAATGAAGCTTACAGCATGATACCAGTTCTACAGAAACATCATGATTGTGCGAAGGAAAGTTGGAATCTTTGCAGATGCAAACTGAAGTTGGTAACTCCTCATAAAAATAAACAACAAAAGTTATACTAAAAGGAGTAATAACATCTTCATAAAATCTCCTGAACTTAGCTCAGCTTATATGCTAAACACATGTCTACTTTATAGGTGCAAGATTACTGAGAAATGCAAATGATATTATCTAAAAAAATTGAAAATATGTCAATGTTCTATAACATGACTGTATAACTCATACAGTTTTATCCGTCGCAATACGAAATGTCCCAGGAACCGAAATTCCTCCTCCCCCTCCCATGGTAATACCATCTAGGACAGCCACCTGCACCAAACAAAAGATTGTGCTAATAAGGCACAGCTTAACAGGCAAACAAGATAGATTATTGCATATTTGCATGACTGGCAAAAGGCTTCAAATTAAATCCATTAGAAATTTCAGTAGCTAAACATAATGGTAACTGAAAAAAGAAATAAAATAATAATGATTGCCATGATAATTACTTTGTAATAAAAAAGACTATTGTACTAGGCATATTAACTTGGAGAAAAGTTATTTCATAATGATACCACAGGACTAGATGGTTTCAGGGTTCACCAATGATTTAGTAGTCAACTTTGGAGAAAGGTTACTTGAAACTGATAGTAAATCTTGGATGTTATCACTATCTTTCTGTCTCTAGGACGCTTGGCGTCTTATATGGCAAGGAGATGAATACCAAGATTTTTAAAAAAAATACCAGGTATAAAAAGTTATCGTTGCATCCTCTCAAGCCGTAAACTGTAAGAAGATGAAACTCACCCCAGTAAAATTGGTGTGTCCACTGATAACTGATACTAAACACCCATGTTCAGTGTTTGTTTGAACAGATAGTTATCTACTAGATCTCTCAAAAAGACATAAATCTAAGTGTATATACTACTTCTGTTTTCAATTAAAAAGTAGATTTTGTCTCAGTTAGCTTACTCTAAAGGTTTTCCAAGGCTCTTCACATGATATGTGTATGTTTTATTTGCATGTGCCAAATACACATATGTGACAAGCAAACATGTGCATGATCCTATATTTGTCTCTAAGTCAGTAACCACAAATCACCCTGCTAATTTGAGAACCACATCCTCAAACTGAGTATACTGCATATTGTTAAAATAAGAATGGTTAAGTAGGTCACTTTGTTGGACTAATACTTATAGGTATCAAAACCAGTATACTGATTTTATTTAACAAGTTCATGGATGATAACAAGCACAACAACTTCATAAAAATAGAATACCGATATATGAAGACCAGGCTTGCAGTGATTGACAATTAGCATCTTCATACTTTCTACAGTACATATAGGTATCAAAATACACATTTAGCATGTAATTCCATCACAGAGAACGAAGTTTACTTCTAAAGTTTCTAAACTGCATGAGCCTTACTGATGCGGACTAAAGATTTATCATGGTTTTTATATTAAACTCATGCAGGATGATGAATAATCAGTTTGCAACACTGCAAGAGAAGTTAACAAAAAAAATTGAAGTGTAATGACAAGCAAGAAGATTGACAGGGGGAATAAGTAGGTGCATTATTTGGATAAGATAAAGTATTTATGGTGATAGCGCTCATAGTCAAATGTATACATTCCTCAATCATATTATAGCATGTCAAGCAAAACTTGATAAATTGCAACACCTGAAAAACAATTCAAAACTGCAAATTAAAACAGAAAACATTAAAGAAAGGAATATTTAAAGATCTAGAACTCACATGTGGCTTTAAATATGTCCCCAGAGTGTAAATAAATGAGTATATGTTCCTGAACAAATCCTTGCACTCCTCAAATTTGCCTGCATAAATTACAGAGGAGGAGAAGTTCATGTAAGAGGAGAAGTTCATGTAAACTTGTTGATCGACAAACAAAATAAACATGCAAAAATGTTTTAAATATGAAGATTACATCATGACACATGCCTTCCCTTATGTGACCTGTGAAGGGATCAAATAAGAAACCAGAAACCAAATGTTTAGCAGTAACAAATTCTAGGATAAAAGCTCTTTGATAAGCTAACTTGTAAGCTGTAAGACAACTGGTAACCAGACTTCCATAAACAAAACTTGCAAGAAACCTTGCCAAATGTAACTAGGAGATCGGTATGCAATTTGACTTTCATAAGTACCTATGTTCCATATCATGACATTTGAGAGATGAGTTTTTCGAATATACAGCAGTTCCTCCCAAAAAAAAATGCTAAACCCTATGTCCTCCTGCACATCATAAAGATCAAGAAAACATAATTCCAATCTGTAAATCATCCACGGATCTTCCAACTGAGCTCTTGCATATCAAACATTAAGCTTCATGCTTCCAAACTATATGCTTGACCTAAAATTTAACTCCTAACTACACTGGTATGATTCAACTTACACATTTCTATCATCATATTTGACAAATCCTATATAACCTTCTTGCTGGGAATAAATATAATCTACCTAAACAATGTTAAGTCTCTCCACTGCTCATAACTCAACAATATCAGCAAAGGTAGAATATTAGTATCTATAGAATCTTATATGTTCGATAGTTAGTTAAAATTGAAGGCAAGCAAATTAAACAAACCTTGATTTATCAAGTGATAGAGACTAATAACATCTCCACCTACGCTAAAAGCTCTACCACTTCCCTTTAAGACATTTAAAGATCAAAACTTAACTCTCTTCAAAATAAAAACAAGATACTCAATAAGATTAAGATTAAAAATATACTAATTATTTAGCTTACTATAATTATTATTTTTATTCTAGCTATCATTTAAGGTGAAGAAACCGCCAAACCGCTCATGGTATTGTCTCAATACTGGCAATAGTTTTGGCCCAAACCCTCATTTTTACTTTACTCTCTCTTGTAATCTCCTCTAGTCATCTTTTTCCTCACATTTCATAAAGAAATGGCTTTGATGTCGGAGACACAGTTTATCGCTATAGGTTTCACCGCCCGTTTCAACAATTTCGACGAAGATAAGAATGCTAGATTCGAGTACAAAGGTCGATGTTCGGTATATTCTCAAACTTGGCCACAGTTTCCCCCATCTTCAAGTTTTTGCAACCCCCCCTATTGAGCTAAAGCTCCCTACTTTTTTTCACATCCCTCCTCCTTTCGTCATGCTTTCATCATTGAACTGTCTTTTACTTGTACGGTCGTTAGTCACCAACGCCTACTATATCATCAATCCCATATTCCGTGACAAAGATTCACCGCCTGATCCTAAACTCTCTATATGATCACCATCCGCTCGACACTCTCATAGTCTTGTACAAAAACTACTTCCCTGGCTTTTTCCAAATAAGCTGTGTTGTAAGAAAGAGCAGACAGAGTGAGAGGGCAAGCGAGGTATCACAGAGAACCAGCCTACTTCTTCCTTATTTTTAGCTCCACCACTAGGCAAGGGGTGGAGCGAGATACTCCCCTAAGCACCATGGCCCACCAAAATATCTTGAGAGACACTGGGGTTGTTGATAGCTCTAAAGCCGCCTATTGGCTAAACAATGAGCTTCCTGATATTACTAACATTATCAGGTTTCAGGCAGAACTAGGCACAGATGTTTATCGATTATTATCTCCTGTTGCTAATTGCTAGCTTGGTGTATCGCTCAATGTGATTGTGTTATTGTATCAACACCATATATAATGTTCCTTCTCCGAGTCCCTTGACCAGGCATTCTGTGATACGTACTTTGAATACTGTCAAGCACATGCTCGCTGTTAGAAGAAGCAACGATGAGGAGCATGGAGTGTTGTCTTGCGCCTTAGTTGAAGCGGGTAGTCATGTGTTTCACACGCGGGTAGTCATGCGTTTCAACCGTGTGATCCTGCTGTGAGTGAACAATCGAATGGTTCTATGGATAGCAAATTAAGATATCTCTACACTACACCTACACCCTATGTGAGCCGATATTCCACTGTAGCCTAGAGGAGACAACAAGAGAGAGTAAAGTAAAAAATGACTATTGATGGTTTGGACCAAAGCTACCGCCGGTATTGAGACAATACCATGAGCATTGTGGCGATTTCCTAACCCTAAACAATAACTAAAATAAAAATAATGACTATAGTACCCTAAATAGTTAGTACCATTTTAATATTTTTAATCTTAACCTTATTGAGTATCTTGTTTTCTTAATTTCTTAATTGTTAGAATAAAAATAATTATAGAAATTTTTAGAGTTTTTTTGTAAATTGCAAAATTTTTAGGGTAATTTTTGTAATTTTTAAAACTTGTAGGGTGTTTTCTGTAAATTTTAACTTTTTGAGGGGGTTGTTTATATATTTTAAAAATTTTAGTTTTTTTAAATTTAAAATTTTGGAACTTTTGTGGTATTTACTGAGTTTTACATTATTGAAGGTGCTTTTGTAATTTTACAATTGTTCATTATTTATAATTTTTTTACTTTACAATGGATCTTGTTAATTTTTAGGTTTCAGAAACTTGCATGTTTTAGAACTTTTTATGGTGGAATATTAGCCCACGTAGGCTGTGGGTGTAGTGTAGACATCTTCATCTACTATCCATAGAACAACTCGATTGTTCACCTACAATGAGATCTCAGGTTGAAATGCATGACTACCGGCCTCTCCTAAGGCATAAGACAATACTCTATGCTCCTCATCATTATTTCTTCTAACAGCAAACATGTGTTTAACAGTATTCAAAGTACGTATCACAGTATGCCCAGGCCAAGGGACTCGGAAGAGGAATATCATATACGGTGTTGACGCAACAACACAATTCATATTGAATAGTACACCAAGCTGGCAATTAGCAGCAGGAGATAAAAACTCATAAACATCTGCACCTTGATCCGTCTAAACTTGATAACACTAGTAAATCAGGGAGCTCATTATTTAGCCAATAGATAGCTCTAGAACTATCAGCAACCTCAATCTCTCCCAAAAAATTTTGGTAGGTCATGATGCCTAGAGGAGCATTGCCTAGTGGTGGAGCTGAAAACATAAAAGTAGGCTTGTCATCGACTTATCGATGATACCTCACTTGCCCTCTCACTCGGCGTGCTCTTACAACACAGGTTACCTGGAAAAAGCCATGAAGGTAGGTAATGTACAAAACCGCGTGAGTATTGAGAGGGTGGTCATATGGAGGGTTTGGGATCAAGTGATGAAAGTCTTCATCATGGAAGAGTGAACTAATGACATGGTTGGCATCAGTGACTAGAGACCGTACAAGTAAGAGACATTTTAACGATAAAAGCATGGTGAAAGGAAGAAGGATGCGAAAAAATTTGGAAACTTGAGCTCAATGGGAGGGCAAGGGCGCAAAATCCTAAAGATGAGGAAAACTGTCGTTAAGTTTAAGAATATACCGAATATCTACCTCCCGTACTTGAATCTAGCATTCTCATCTTCGTCGAAGTTGTTAAAATGAGTGGTGAAACATGTGGCGATAAACCGTGTCTCCGACATCAAAGCCATTTCTTTGTGAAATAGGAGAAAAAAGATGACTAGAGGAGACAACAAGAGTGAAGTAAAAAATAACTGTTGAGGGTTTAGACAAAGCTACCGCCAATATTGAGACAATACCATAAGCAGTTTAGCAGTTGCCTAAATGTAAATGATAACTGCAATAAAAATAATAAGTATAGTACCCTGAATAATTAGTATCTATTTAATTTTTTTAATCTTAACCTTATTGAGCATCTTCTTTTGTTAAGTGCTAAATTGTTAGAATAAAAACAATTACAAAAATCTTCAAGGTTTTTTTGTAAATTTCAAAAAAATTAGGGTGTTTTTTATAATTTTAAACTTTTAGGGTGTTTTCTGTAAATTTTAAGTTTTTTCGGGGTTGTTTGTACATTTTGAATTTTTAGTGTTTTTTTAAAAATTTTGAATTTTTAGAACTTTTTGTGGTATTTACCGAGTTTTACATTATTAGAGGTGCTTTTGTAATTTTGTAATTGTTCATTATTTATAATTTTTTACTTTAAAACAGATCTTGTCAATTTTCAGGTTTCAAAAGACTCGTGTGTTTTAGAACTTTTTAGGGGGGTTTGTAATTCCAAGCGCTTATATGAACCAAGCCTCAGCTTTTCACCCCATTTGCTTCTTAACTTGGTTTAAAGTTTACCCTCATATAGGGTTAAACTTTATCCTTAGTGAACTTTTAGAAAAATAAAACACATGTACCAAACAAGCCCTAAGTGTGTATGATTGGTAAGAACTGTTACTTTTTTAGCCCGCAGCCATCAGCTCAAGCCTTACCTAATTTTCATTTTTCATGTTCACTTAGTTCCTACAAAAAAATGTTAAACCCTATTTCATGTTCACTTAGTTCCTCCAAAAAATGCTAAACCCTATGTCCTACCTGCACATCATAGAGATCAAGAAAACATAATTCCAATTTTTTAAATCATAAAGGTGTCTTCATCAATGCCCACAACTTAAATTGTTTGACGCATGTTAAACATTAGACTTTCTTGACATACATTGTTCGCTCAAGTGTTTGGGTGAAGTATACATCCAATTTCAAGAGGTCTAGTTTCATTCATCAATAACTCATAAGATAAGTTTAAATTTGAATTTTTTTTTTCATGTGTTTATTTGGTCTTTCCAAATGAGACATGACTATGATGTACATCTTTCCTCATGACCTAAAGGCCAACACAATGAGGGTTTTAAGTCTGTATAATTGGTAGGAATTGTTACTTTTTTTAGCCTAAAGCCATCAACTCAAGCCCCTTCCCTAATTGTCATTTTTCATGTTCACTTAGTTCCTCCAAAAAAAAGCTAAACCCTATAGAGATCAAGAAAACATAATTCCAATTTTTTTAAATCATAAGGGTATCTTCATCAATCCCCACTACTTCAACTGTTTGACGCATGTTAAACATTAGGCGCTTGACATACATCGTTGGCTCAACTGTTTGGGTGAAGCATGCATCCAATTTCAAGAGGTCTAGTTTCATACATCCATAACTCATAAGTCTAAATTTGAATTTTTGTTTTTCATGCATTTATTTGGTCTTTCCAAATGAGACATGATTTGATGTACATCTTTCCTCATGGCCTGAAGCACAACACAGTGAGGGTTTTAAGTCTGTATAATTGGTAGGAATTGTTACTTTTTTTAGCTTACAGCCATCAGCTCAATCCTTCCCTAACTGTCATTTTCCATGTGCACTTAGTTCCTCCAAAAATAATGCTAAACCCTATGTCCCACCTACACATCATAAAGGTCAAAAAAACATAATTCCCATTTTTTTAAATCATCCATGGATCTTCCAACCGAGCTCTCGCATATCAAACATCAAGCTGCATGCTTCCAAACTATACACTTGACAGCCAATTTTAGTCCTAACTTCACTGGTATGATTCAACTTACACATTTCTATCATCATGTTTGACAAATCCTATACAAACTTCTTGCTGGAAATAAATATAATCTACCTAAACAATGTCAAGTTCCTCCATTGTTCATAACTCAACAATATCAGCAAAGATAGAATAATAGTATCTATAGAATCATATATGTTCGTTAGTTAGTTAACATCGAAGGCAAGCAAATTAAACAAACCTTGATTTATCAAGTGATAGAGACTGATAACATCTCCACCTGCGCTGAAAGCTCTGCCACTTCCCTTTAGACATTTAAAGACAAACACTTAAACTCTCTTCAAAATGTCATCTAATCTCATAAACCCAATAACTAACCAACCCATATCTACCTTCATCATAACAAACCCAATATCAGCATTATCCTCCCAAGACTCATACAACTTCTTCAGCCGAATCCCCTGCAACCATCATCAAAATCTCAGCTGAGAATATCGTCGAACACGTTATCTGCATCATAGAAACACATACCATATTGCTCGTGAGAGCATTTAGCGAATTTGGCCTGTTGAGAATCGCTGCTCGAGCACTGGCTTTGCCCTCCACAAGGACCTAACTCAATAAAATTCGAGAATATAAAATGTTAAAAGATGTGGGGAAAATGGAGAAGGAATAAAATGGGTATGTTGAGAAACTGACTTGGTTCTGGAGATTGTCGTCTTGGATGGCGGTCGCGGCGGCGACAGAGGCCGAGAGGCGACGGTGATGGGGGAGAAAGCGAAGGGATGGGCGAGATCTCCAAGCTAAAGATTGTAGCTTTAGGCTCTGCATTTTTTGTTGGGACTTCTTGAGACGTTGACTGCTGGATAGTGAAGGCTGCACGGGGGCTTATAAAGAAGGCTTAACTGAGAACACACCCCCTCTAAGTATGGACAAATTTTCGAAACAGTCCTATTCGGACATTTATTTGCAAAAAAACGACCACTTTCAAACTTAATTATAAAAACCGACCTGGTTTCAGCCCTGTTGCTAAAACCAGGTTGATTTCTGAAAATTTTTTTACGAAACTTCACGGGAGTTTAACTCCCGTGAAGTTTAGCATATTTTTAAACTTCACGGGAGTTGAACTCCCGTGAAGTTTAATTTCTTCAAAAATCTTCACGGGAGTTGAACTCCTATGAAGTTTTGGTCACACAACAGACTTCACGGGAGTTGAACTCCTGTGAAGTCTGTTAGACTATTAAAAACTCCACGGGGGTTCAACACCAGTGTAGTTACAAGCCAAATTTCCCAGAGAATCGCTCTCTGGGAAATTTAGACTGCAACTCCACGTGAGTACGGTTTTATTTTTTTGGGCCAATTTCCCTTGTTTCATTCTCTCTTGACTTAGTTCTTACTTAGGGGGTGTTTGTTTCAACTTTTTTTGGGATACAAGGTGGATTACAAATTCTAGGATGAAAAGTGTTTTTTTTAGTTTATAGATTTCATAATCTTTATTTGATTCAAAATAAAATTTGGGATATTGAATACCTAAATAATAAAATACTAATATATTATAGTATTTGTGAAATCCCCTCTTTGAGAGAGGATTAATGCTAGATTTCAAATTTTAAAATTTGTAATGCTACAATTTGAGTTTGAAACAAACAAAATACAAATTATAGGATTAAATATTCCAAAATATTGATAAAATAAACAACATTTTAGAAATTCCAACCCATGTTAAAAAACCTATGGATTTCAAATCCCATGATAAAATCTACATCCTAAAATTATAGGATTTGAAAAAAACACCCCCTTAAACGAAATGTTGGCGTACATCAAGATCTGGAGTCTAAATCTGCAAATAGAGAATATATGAGGGGCACATACTTAAAAACTCCTTAAATCGTCAAAAATTTACTTCCCTCCCGTCTCTCTCATTCTCATCCGCTGACAAAATCATGGAGGACGACGGACATCGTCGCCATCACGAGCACGAAGGCAACGGGAACTCCGGCGTCAAATCAGCGG